GGGACAGTGAGCTCAGTGACAGAGTCGGCTCAGGCTTCCGGCCCCCTGCGGGCCTGACAAACGGTTGGCCGGTCAGCTTGCTGTTTACTTTATGGGTGTCCCAAGAAGTATTTGGTCTGTGAGCAGGGTTTTGTGCTTTTTAGCCAACATATGTAAGTTTGTACCCTCTGTATGAATTGTCTTCCTACTGTCTTTTCCAAACAAGGAGGCTGCTTTTTGGAAACTCACCGAAGCATCCTTTTGGACAGGTTGGTAGATGTGAAGCAGCTTCCGGGTTTACGAATTTTCCGCCCTCGTCTGTGCTTCTTGTCTTCAGACAGGCTTGTGGTCCCGCAGCACACTCTGGAAGGGCACGTGGGCCAGTACGAGGAGCAGGCTCCCCCGCCGCAGCCCTTCGAGCCAGCGGGTCTGTCACAGGGTCAGTGGTGGGCCTTACCCGGGGCTCTCCAGTGAGCTGCGCCTGGTTGGGGTTAACTTTACAGCAAGCTTGAGTGTTTCCTTTAGTGCTCTTCTGAAATTTATGACCAGTTATCGAACCAGATAACGTCTTGCGTGGGTAGCGTGTGCATGTGTGTACACATGCACGCATACGCTATTTTGTAGTCTGTTCAGATTTTCCAGAAGGGGACTTTAATGACCATTCTACACCTGGTCTCTAGCCAAGGAAAGGTAATTGAGTAGAAACTGGGACTTATTTGTGGCTGGTGTGTCAGTCTGCCCTGCAAGGATGGGAGCTGAGCGTAGCCTCTTGCCTGTGAGCAGATCACTTTAGAGCCTGCTGATAAAAACTAATAATCCTGATTCCCGTTCAGAAAGTAGACATGTTCCTTTAAATACCTTTATTTGTAAAACCAACCTTTTTTGGTTTTGTGTGTGTGTGTGTGTGTGTGTGTAACTTTACTATTTTTTGTAGAACTCATGTCTTCTGATTTATTTCAGGTTTTACAGTGACTGATACATACAATCAACAGACTCAGTTTCCACCGGTCCAACAGTTACAAGATTCCAGCACACTGGAGTCTCAAGCCCTGTCCACGAGCTTCCATCAGCAGAACTTACTTCCGGTTCCTAGCTCTGATACGATTAATGTAGTGAGTATTGCAGAAGTCTCATCATTGAGCAGATTCTATCTTATTCTTCACTGTAATTATTTAAAATTTGCTTACTTAAGAAGGCATGTTAACTTGTTGCAACTTTAAGATTGCTGCATCACCTGTGGAAACCTCAGTGATTATCATATAGGGCTTCTATTTCCTTAAAACATTTTTGTTTTAAGATTTCATTTGCATGATGTGGCTTTACCTTTTCTGTTAAAAGTCAGGGAAGTCAGGAGAGTGTGACTGACTCCAGTGACATCTGAAGGGTGTCGCCTTGCTTTAGCGAGAAAACCAAAGCATTTTAACATGTGGGATCTTAAAGAGACACGTTAGAATGAAAATATAATGAAGGCTGACGTACGAAAGATACATATTTAAATGCATCATTTAAAATTTTCCTCTCTTAGTCAAGTTGGAGGCATTTAAGTTTTTGTTTTGGTATTGATTTTGCCATTTTTGGAAATCTTTCAGTAGTGGTGAAAATGATTGGCAAATCAATTGTTTTCTCTCTTCTCTCTTTTCTTTGCGGTACGCGGGCCTCTACACTGCTGTGGCCTCTCCCGTTGCGGAGCACATTCTCCGGACGCGCAGGCTCAGTGGCCATGGCTCACGGGCCCAGCCGCTCCGCGGCATGTGGGATCTTCCCAGACCAGGGCACGAACCCGTGTTCCCTGCATCGGCAGGTGGACTCTCAACCACTGCGCCACCACGGAAGCCCTCTCTCTCTTTTTTTTAATATTTACTTTTTTAATTTTTGGGGCGCTGCGTTGGGTCCTCGTTGCTGTGCGCGGGCTTTCTCTGGTTGTGGCGACTGGGGGCTACTCTTCGTTGCAGTGCGCGGGCTTCTCATGGCGGTGGCTTCTCTTGTTGCAGAGCACGGGCTCTACGCGTGCGGGCTTCAGTAGTTGTGGCTCGCGGCCTCTAGGGCACAGGCTCAGTAGTTGTGGCGCACAGGGCTTAGTTGCTCTGCGGCATGTGCGATCTTCCCGGACCAAGGCTCGAACCCGTGTCCCCTGCATTGGCAGGCAGAATTTTTAACCACTGCGCCACCAGGGAAGTCCTTATTTTCTCTCTTTAAAAGACCCTGTGGGTAACTTCTGCCAAGTGGAGGACCTGGACCCTCCAGTGAAATTTTCAGAGCACGTTTTCCCAGCTCGAAGCTGCATAATTGACAGTAGGCGCTGAATCTGGGTGGTGGGGGGCATGCGTCTCTGTGGCTTGCCTTCACTCGGCCCTCTGAGCAAGACTGCACACCCGCTCACTTGTGGCTTTTCGGGGCGGGTCCTGGAAGCCACGGGAAACGCGTGCACGCAGGCAGGTTCTCCACTGTTCTGGCCTCTCCTGCCCCTGTCCCCCATGTCCTGAAGGTCAGCCTGTGCTCTGTCCACTGAACATGGGTGTTTCCTGCAGATCTTTGCCCAGTCCCTGGGCTGCACCACCTGTGGCCGGAAGGTGTTGAGTTAAGGGGCTGCTGTCTCCAGGCCTGCTGCTCCTGGGCTGGGAACATGCTTTCTCCCCCTGTGATTTTGTGACAAGCGAGGGGACTTAGTATTTTAAGAAAGCAGGGCGTTTTGTTCACTCTCAGTAAGAATAGAGCAGATGAAAGAATAGTCTCTTAATAGACATAAAAAATATGGAAAGATTGGGCTTCCCTGGTGGCGCAGTGGTTGAGAGTCCGCCTGCCGATGCAGGGGACACGGGTTCGTGCCCCGGTCCGGGAAGATCCCACATGCCGCGGAGCGGCTAGGCCCGTGAGCCATGGCCACTAGGCCTGTGTGTTCGGAGCCTGTGCTCTGCAATGGGAGAGGCCACAACAGTGAGAGGCCCGCGTACCGCAAAAAAAAAAAAAAAAAAAAAAAAAAGGAAAGATTAAAGCAAGTTAATGGAAAATAAAATAAGTATTTCTTCATTAAAATTGGTATAGATGATTTTTGTTATTAATTTGGCCCAAATGATTGCAACAACCTAATTGGGGTTTCTCCCTTTTAAATCCACATTTATGAGTGTTCTTATCCTTAGTTGTTCGGTGTTTGTATTCATTCATAGATGCTCATGCAGTCTGCTCTGTGCTTCTACTATGTTTTAGACAAGTCGTTTGGTTCAGGAGTCACCCCAGCAGGAGCTGGGGCTGCAGGCGCCACGTCCCCCGTTCCTGGACGACAGCGAGGAGCAGAGCCGGCGCTCCTACAGGTACGCGTGCTCCTCCGGGTGCGCGCGCTCTTCCGGGTACGCACGCTCCTACGGGTACGCGCGCTCCTCCGGTGCGCACGCTCCTACGGGTACGCGCGCTCCTACGGGTACGCGCTCTCCTCTGGGTGCGCATGCTCCTACAGGTACGCACGCTCCTACAGGTACGCACGCTCCTCCGGGTGCGCGCACTTGGGCTGCAGCCCGTCTTGCTGCGCCCAGTGCCCACCTGCACCGTTCCTGCAGCTTCACAAAAGCTCTGGGAAACAGGGCCTGTCGTCACCCCCATTTTATAAAGAAAGTATCTGAGACAAAAGAGACTCACTTGCTAAAGCTTCTACAGCTAATAAGTGACATGGGCAGGGTTTGGACGCAGCAGCCTGTACCCATAAACTACTCTGCTGTAGCTTCCTGTCCCCACTCTAGGCCGCTGTTACCGTGTTTTCAGAAATAACTTGAATTTATATCGTGCCTTTTTGTCCACGGCTCTTTGTGTGTTTTATATATAACCTCCTGATACTTAAGTCACACTTCCATTTATTCAACAAGTATTTGTTTGTTAATGTTTAATTTGGGATCTTGCACGGGTATTTTTAAGTGAGATTAGTGTAATGTTTTCTTGTGATTCCTTTGTGACATCTGCTTGGGCATTCCTGGACTTCTGGCCATTCATTCATTCCCCATTCGTTCATTCAACACTTATTAAGACCTTGCTGCTGTGTGCCGAGCTGTGTGCTCTGTGTACCTTTCTATCACAGATTAAAACCTGGAAATGGAAAAAAATAGGGAAATAAAATGGAATAAGCTTTCAGAATTTTAAAAAATTTTTTAATAATATGTGAATAGGAATTTTGAAATTTATAATTGTTTCATCCTTAATTTTAATATATTTCATAACAACTGAGAGGAAAATAACACTACATATTTATATATTATTCAAAATAGCTCTAGTAGCATCTGTTTGGTAAAGTATTTTATCAGCTAAAGAGTATACGAACCGACATTTCCAAGTGTCTAGACTCAGGTGCTTCTGACCCTCATGCAGCGGAAGGGTTTGCAGCATCTTATGACTTGGTAAAGAAAGTAGTACATGATAAATTCCCTGTTATGTTTAAAGGAATAGTTTGTAGTTAATCAAATTTTATTTCTCCTGGAGAACTGCTGTAGGTTTTACTAACTTTGAAATAATAAAATATGTTTAAGGGTGCAGTCGGAGCAGAATTTGATCTAACAAGTTTTTCTCGCTAGTATCTCAGTGTTCTAAGTGTTGGAAGCACACCTGGTTTCTGTAACGGTTAGGCCTGATGGTTTACTGACTGCTGGTGAAGCGTGTTTGCTTTTCTTCCCTTCTCAGGTGTTGCATTTGTGATCAGGCTGTGCATTAACGTGGTCTGTGTTGTGTGTATAGATGTGACTATTGCAACAAAGGCTTTAAGAAGTCCAGCCACTTGAAGCAGCACGTGCGGTCACACACCGGGGAGAAGCCCTACAAGTGCAAGCTCTGTGGACGTGGCTTCGTTTCCTCTGGGGTCCTCAAGTCCCACGAGAAGACACACACAGGTCATTGTCTGCCTCGCACTGGACGTAAACACGTGGAAAACCATACGTGATTCTAGAGCATATGAATTCTAGCGCATTTTCATCACACCCCTCAGGGCCCCCAGCCCCAGGCAACCACTGACCTGTTTCCTGTCTGTGTGGTTTTGCCTGTTCCGGGCTCTTCCTGTAAACGGAACCATACGACACGGTGCCTTTTGTCACTGGCTTCCCTCACTCAGCACGTGTTCAAGGTCCACCCACGTTGTAGCATGTGTCACACTTATTTTTATAGCCAAACAGTAGTCCACTGTGTGGAGAAACCACGTTCTGCCTGTCCGCTCATCAGCTGTTGGACAGCTGAGGTGTTGCCGGTTTTTGGCTATCAGGAATAATCTTGCTGTGAACGTTTTGTGCGTTTCTGTGTGGATGCAAGCTTTTGCTTCTCTGTTTAGGAGTGGACTTGCTTGGTCATACGATAACTGTTTAAACCTTGGGGTTTACCAAACCAGAATGGCCTTTCCAGAGTGGCCGCACCATTTTCCTTGTCCACCAGCAATGATTTCACATCTTGTCAGGGCTTAGTATGATCTGTCTGCTTCGTTATGACCGTCCGTCTTCTTAAAATAACCTTCTTGAAAGACCCTCTATTCCTAAAAATTGGAGACCACAGCAAGTACATGCTCTTCAGTTTTGCAGCTTGTTGAGTGCATCTTTGCTTTGACCGCGTGTGGTTTTCAGGTAACGAACGTGTTCTGACCCCGTCTCTGCTGTCGCAGGAGAAAAGGCGTTCAGCTGCAGCGTCTGCAACGCTTCCTTCACAACCAACGGCAGCCTCACCAGGCACACGGCCACGCACATGAGCATGAAGCCCTACAAGTGTCCGTTTTGCGAGCAGGGCTTCCGAACCACAGTCCATTGTAAAAAGCACATGAAGAGGCACCAGACAGTCCCCTCGGCTGGGTCAGCACCGGGAGAGGCAGAAGGAGGAGGTGTGGTCCCTTTGTTGATTCAGGTTTATCATCAGCCGATGCTGAAACTTAGTGATTAACTCATTGCAGAGGTGATTTGTACCAGTATATTAACTTATTTCATTTTCTGATTATGAAAGCAATCATAATTTGCTCTTTGAAAGAAAGATTCGGGAGGCACGAAGAGGAGAACTTCTCACCTCACTGGTCACCAGGCACCAAAATACCAGCGTCCCCGCACAGGGCAGGCTGTCGCCCACGCATGCATGTACGCACGCGTAGGTGGACCTGAATTCCCTGATAGGAAAGCACGTTACATGCAGTGTTGTCGTGCATGGGTGTTCATTACAGGCGAATTTGGTATTAGTGAGCACGGGTGTGCATCAGTTCTAACGCCTGCACGGAATTCTGCTGTGTTTCATTACACGGTTTCCTGTTGCTGGATGCGCAGTGGCTGCCCAGTGCTGCAGTGTAACAGGAGGAGCTGGCGGTCAGGGGGCTTTAACCCTCGGCGCTGTGCTTACTCACCACGTACATTCTCATCTGATCGACACGAGATACCGTGAAGCTAACTTAAGCGGTAGACGAGCTGATGGGCCCAGTTCCCACCCCAAGTATAGGAATCCCAGGAGGATTTTGTGCCTATACTCTTTGTACCTGTGAGATGATTTCTTCTTAGCAAGTTCCAGAGTGAAATTACGGTGACAGAATGTGCACCTTGCATAGATCCTGACACAGGGCGCCAGTGCACAGCGTTCTAAATCTTTTAAACGACCTTGTTCCGTGTGCAGCGTGAGTTATGCTATCGGTAGTTTACACGGTGTCCTGGGGCCTGGGCTCCTGTCAGTGCTGCAGCCGGCACTGTGCACCTCACACCGTTGGTGCTGGCGGAGTGAGCGTGCTGAGATGGGGGTGCGACTTCGAGGGCCATCCGTCAGTTTTTAGTTCACTGTTTTGGCTCTCACCGCCGTCCGTTTTGCTATTTAGTGTCTCTACTGTTTTTTAAAAAACTTTTTTAGCCATCTGTGCAATAATAAAGTCCCCCTGTCCCCTGTCCCCAGCCAAACCTTTTTTTCCTTCTCGGTTACATTTTAACAGCAGCTTATTCTTTCTTTTTAATGGATGTAAATATATCCTCACATTTCACTGAGAGAATACTTCAACATACATATTTTTTAAGTGTTTTCTTTCCTTTCAGTGAGTCTTTTTAATTGGCGGCTGTTTGCCAGTTATCAGTTTGGTCTCTTCCTTCGGGCTGCTCGTCCTCTTACGCTAATTCACTTTGTGTCCGTGTTGATAAATGAACGTCTGTGTGTATGAGCACTGTTGACTCGTGCGGACACTGACCCGTTCAGAGCCCACTGCCAGCCTGCTGGCAGGGCTGGCGGAGACCGTCAGCCACGGCATCTGCCCTTGGCAGTGACCCCTCCCCCGAGGCATGGCCTTTCCACCCTGACCAGCTTCTCAATAGACAGTGGTGGGAAAAAACCCTTTACCATCCCAAATATAGCCTCATTGAGTTGCTAATTTTAACCATACATATTTAAGTTAAATGTTTTGTTTTAGTTGTTCTGTTACATTTAGTTTTTTATTAGGATTTGATCCTTTTTCCTACATGTTGTTTAGAGATGGGTCTGGAGGAAGAGGAAGACAGTTCTGAAAGAAACGTGTGTAGAAAGGCTCGTCCCGAGGTCATCACCTTCACAGAGGAGGAGACGGCGCAGCTGGCCAAGATTGGGCCGCAGGAGAGCGCCACCGTCTCAGAGCAGGTGCTGGTGCAGTCGGCCGCCGAGAAGGACCGCGTCAGCGAGATGAAGGACAGGCAGGCGGAGCTGGAGGCCGAGCCCAAGCACGCCAACTGCTGCTCCTACTGCCCCAAGAGTTTCAAGAAGCCCAGCGACCTGGTCAGGTGCGGTGCAGGCCCGCTGCCCCGGGGGTGGGCGTGCGGTCTGCGCGCTCCTCGGCAACCCGTGCTGACGCCTTCTGAGTGGCTCCTTCCTCTCTTGAGTCCTGGTTGCAGGCCCGTGTGCGTTTGGAGGCTTCCTTGCGAGCTCATTGAGCACGTTAGCTAGAAGTCTGCTTGCTCTGTGGGTGTTTGTGCTTATTTCTGTGTGACGGTGGTAGCAGTAAAAGAATTAAAAATGATTTCCTGAGGAAGATGCGGCGCTGAGCCCAGCCTTGTAGGCGCTCAGAACAGCAGCGGGTTCCTGCCCGCCCCACAGGGCGACCGGTCTGTATGGCGCGAGGCTCCATCACACGGGGAGGTGGCCCGAGCGCTGGGGGTCGAGTCCACATCAGCCGCGAGGCGGTGATTGACGTGCGGTCTGGCAGAGTTGGCGGAGGGCAGCTGACAGACGGGCTCCAGGAAAGAAGGCCGAAGTACGGCACTCTCTTAAAACATTTGGAGGATTTTCGTTTACGGGGTGGGGCCGGGGGGGCGCTCGTCTTTTGCTTCAGGAGGTGGAACTGCTGGGTAAAAGGTAGAGGGTGATTGAACGGAGGAGCTGTCTGGATTTCAAGACGGGTAATAAGAGAGCCGGCTGCTTCAGAAAACCAAAGAGGCGTCTTCCTGTCCCTCTCTGTCGCACAGAGCCCTGCATGTGACGGGAGGGCAGACAGGCTGCCCAGAAGCTGCTAGGCTGGAAGTGCTCCTCGCGTGAGTGCAGCTAGTAACGCCTGCCCTTGTATTCCTGCCGGGCAGGAAGGGGCATGTGCCAGTGAGAGAGGGACGGGTAGACGGGCGAGGGGCAGTGGGCAAGGCCCGGCCAGGCTTGGACGCGGAGCCGAGATGGTGTCGTGTCCCGGTGGGTGGGGAGGAGGAACGAGCTAAGAAGATGACAGCATGTGGACTCCGAGGCCGGGAGTGAGACGCTGGAACCCTCAGCTAGGAGAGGACCGGGCGGTGGCCGCAAGGGAGCAACACGCTGGGTGCGGGGCGGGGCAGGGCCCCAGCGGGAGGCAGGGGTGTGAATCGCGGACGAGGGCGTCCTGCTGGGCAGCCCCGTGGGCATCGCCGCGCCGCTGAGAAGGTCTGCAGCGCGTAGCCGGCGGGTGGTGCTGACGAGCAGCCAGCCGGGCCCGGAGGTGCGCCCCGGAGGCGGGACTGCTGACCCTGCACCCCCGTGAGGGGGCGAGGCGGCAGGTGCCCCTGGAAACGAGAAGCCTGCTGCGGCCTGGCAGCCGGCCTGCCTTCTCCTCTGTCCTTCATTTAACAATCGTGCGAGGCTCAGCTGCCCGCACTGCGTACTGGACAGACGTCCTGGTGAAGCGAGCCAGGACCGAAAACAGCGGGGGAGGCTATGAAGGGAGAGCCTTCATAGACAAGCCCAGAGACAAGCGCTATTAGCAGTTTCTTCTGTGCGTTTTTTCAGAACTGTCTACTCGTACGTCAGCATTAACTTGTGCAATTCTGGTCTCGGTTTAATTGTTACATGTTGTGGGGTCCCAGACAGCTTTGTCAGTCCCCGCCCACCTCTTTCATCCTTCACGGCGACGTCTTGTTGTCGTGTGGGCATCCCAGACCCCTGTTGATGACTGCCTAGTTTTCAGTGTGGAATCACTAGGCCAGCCCCACTGTCCTGTGCTCTGTGTGCACCTGTGTGGGTGCCCGGGGTCAGTGCTGATGGACACACCCACTGGCCTCCGAGGGCTGTGCCGTTTACATCCCCCAGCCTCTGAACACCTGCTCCTAGGCCACCCAGCCGACAGTGGGTCATCATCAGACAGATGGGAAAGGGATGGCTTGTCATTTTAACTTGCTCTTTTTAAATTCTGAGGCTGGGGAATACCTTTTCATGTGGCATTTGGGTGCGTGTGTTTCTTCTCTACGCTGCCTTGTGTTGCCTGTTTTTCTGCTGTGATATTTCTTGTCTTACTGCTGATTTGTAAGATTCTCTTTGGTTTTCAGGAAGGTTAGCCTTGTTTTCATTGGTCTTGCAGATTACTTTGTTGTCTTGTGGATTTGTTTATGGTGTTATTTATATAGAGTGAAGCTTAAAAGTTTTGTATTGCTAAATTTATTCAGTACATAGTCACGCATAATTTTTATTTATATGGATAGCTATAAATTTTAAATCATGAAGTTGTTTGTAAATTGCGTATAAAGTTAAAAAGAAAGACACTTAATTGCAAATGCTTTCTGGCTAGGCATGTTCGAATCCACACTGGAGAAAAGCCATATAAATGCGATGAATGTGGGAAGAGTTTCACTGTTAAATCTACCCTGGACTGCCACGTGAAGACTCACACAGGTAAGAGCAAACACCTGCACTGTTGGTAGATGCCTTCCGACAGCATTTTATACTTGTTCCTATGTATTTTTTTTGCACACATACTTTCAAGATGAAACAAAGCTTAAAAATCAGGAACCATGAAGAAATGAATATAGAAGATTTGTGATTCCCAACACGGAGAAAGTGATCTCTGACACCAAAGGAAAGGATCTAGGTCTCAGATGTGGCGTTGTAAGTTGTCTTACTCAGAGTTAAATACCTGTGTTAGAAAGATTACCTCTTAGTCTCATTCAGGCCAGAGTTTCAGTTTGTTGAAATTCTGTGAAAACTGGGGATTTCACAAATCTGATTACACTTAGCAGGTAGCAATTCTGTTTCTGTGGGGGGAAAATCTGATAAAGGAAAACAATTAACGTCCAAATTTCATGGCCGTTTTCTTCATCTTATGTGAGGAACTGAAGGTTAATCATCCTAAGTAAAACGTGCTCAACCTTCGCCTCTTGATCATGCACGGTGCGCCCTCGTGGGTGAGAAGGCGGCCCTGGGCCTCTGCCCGGTTGGAGTCTGTCCTCACTTGTGAGCTACTTCTCTGACCCGCCCATCCGTCATGTAGAAAATGGGGCAAACACGAGTACCCTCCCCCCACCCCCCCGGTTTAAATTGCCTAGAAAAGTAAAAGTGGCACCTGGTAAACACGGAGTAAACATTAGCGTCGTGAGGACGCGTAGGACTATGACTGTCAAACCAATTTACACTCTGAAGCTTTGGCCGTAAGCAGAATTGACCAAGGGAGTACAAGTGGAATTTCACACATAGGCGTAAAGTCCTGTGATTCTTTTCTGATGGGTTCGTGTGTGGAATTAGGTAAACAGATACACGAAGTCCTTCAGCTGCCTATTCTACGGACAGTTCTTCTGTTGTTTCCTTAGGATCTGTGCTTGACCCTCCCCTGCAGCCCTGGGCACTGCCGAGGGTCAGGAGGGACCCGCTTAGTGGCTTTGTGTCCCGGGTCTCGCGTGGTAGCTCACGCGGCAGGTGCCGGCCACCCTAAGGACGCCTCCTGCGCACCAAGCCTCCGTGTGGGCTCCCGGGCATCAGGACTAGGAAGAGAATCTCTGGGAAGACACCTTCCAGGGCCCCCCTCAGCTGACTTCTGCGGCCCGAGCAGCGCGAGGGGAGCAGGCGCCGCCAGTCCCGGGGCCCTGCCGCCGCGCCCAGCCCCGCCTGCCGGGCCTTCTTCACCCCGCAGCACGCGTGTGTTAGAGGACTTGGTGCCCCAGGAGCTGGGCACGTGCGCCCGGAGCGCAGTCTGCCGGGCGGCTTCCACCTGTGCTGGCGGCTCAGGCGCCCCTTTGTCAGCGGAGAAGACCGGTGAGGCGTGAGCTCACGCTTCGTAAAATCAGGGAGCGGAGCCCGAGATGCAGGGCGGGTCCCCGCTTCCGGCAGGGCTTGGTGTGCCTCCGTGTCGTGGAAAGACTGAATTCGGATCCTCGACAGTGAACTTCGGTTACTTTTAAGTTTTCCAGCCACCGGCCCTCCGGAGCGAGGGGCCCCGGGGAGCGTGGGGGATGGTGGACGCAGCGTGGTGGCAGCCAGGCCGCTGGCCGACGGGGGCGACCCGGCCAGCCCGCTGACGCACGGCCTCTTCTCCCAGGTCAGAAGCTCTTCAGCTGCCACGTCTGCAGCAACGCCTTCTCCACCAAGGGGAGCCTGAAGGTCCACATGCGTTTGCACACCGGAGCAAAGCCGTTCAAGTGTCCCCACTGTGAGCTGCGTTTCCGCACGTCCGGGCGGAGGAAGACTCACATGCAGTTTCACTACAAACCGGACCCTAAGAAAGCCAGGAAGCCTGGGCCCCGGGGGCCGCCGGAAGGGCCGCAGCCCGTGAGCGCGCCCCCTCCGCCCTCCTCCGACCCCAGCGTGTTCATCATGAACAGCCCCGTGCTGGCGGGGCAGCTGGACCAGAGTCTGCTGCAGCAGGGCCTGCTGGGCCAGGCCGTCCTTCCCGCCTCCGTGTCCGGTGAGTAGGGCTGACAGGCACCAGGGCTGTGGACGCCGGGACGGGGGCGGGAGGGTGGGGTGGGGGGCGCGACCTTCAGCCTCAGGACACTGCCCTTCCTGAGGGTTTCCCGCGAGGTCGCGGGAGGTTGAAGTCTTGACTTCCAGGCGCAGCTGCCTTTCCGTTTCCCATTCTTTCTAACGTCACTTCTGCATTTCAGGCTTCAGCTCTTTGTTTAGTTTGATGGGCTTAAACCTGTTTCTTTTTTAGTATTCTCACAAACTTAATAGCGAGACGTAATTTATAGCTACCCGTGAACCTTGCTTCTCATATACGAGTTATCCAATTGCTCTTGGGTCACACAGTATTTGAAAAGCATTAAATTTTAGTCAGTTGGGTTTTCTGTGCACTCACAAATAACGTAGCAACTGTTAGTAGCTACTGGACATCTTAAGTGGCTTTCTTTCAGTTTCATGACCCATGGTGCAATTAAAGCATAATAAGACAAAATAATAGCGTTGTTTTAAATCTTGGGCTGATCAGTGTGATCTCTTTGAGCCTAGTTTCCTGATGTGTTTAAAATGGATAATATTATTTTCTATTTCACAAGGTTTGTTTTGTGATGATTAAATTAGATATGTGTGTGCCTGTGTAAAGTAAATATTAGTGTTTGTTAACTAGGTCATGTCGGTATGTGTTTAGAACTTCTGTATTTAGGAACCCAGTGCGTTTTTCCTGTTTGAGAAAGTGTCTGGTACGCAGTCATTCCTGTTCTTCCTCTGCAGCTGGCGGCGACTGGACAGTGTCTCTGACAGACGGAAGCCTGGCCACCCTCGAGGGCATACAGTTACAGTTGGCTGCTAACCTGGTTGCACCCAGTGTTCAAATCTCTGGGATCGACGCTTCCAGCATTAATAATATCACGCTACAGGTGCGACGCCCACCAGGCTTTTCTGTGCTTTCAGATGGTCTGAGTCACACTCAGCGTGAAATTTCCATCACAACAACCTCTGTGCTTTCAGATTGACCCAAGCGTCCTGCAACAGACGCTACAGCAGGGTAACCTGCTTGCTCCACAGCCGACCGTGGAGCCCGGCCTGGCCCCGCAGCACAGCTCCCTTCAGACACCAGACAGTACAGTCCCGGCCAGCGTGGTCCTCCAGCCCATCTCAGGCCTGTCCTTGCAGCCCACGGTGACGTCTGCCAACCTGACCATAGGCCCGCTCTCGGAGCAGGATTCCGTGCTGACCACCAGCAGCAGTGGTGAGAGCTGCCGCTTCGGTTGGTTGTGACAGCTGGAGTTTCGGCTCGCTGCTGACATCACAGATTTGGTTTGGGGACACTGGGATGCTGTTTCCTTCTCTTTATAAAGCTTAACGAATAAATGTCCTAAGAATAAAGTAAGCTTTTCTGACGATAAATGATGTTTAGTCAGTATATGCACAGAGATTGCATTCATGGAACCGGCTTCCTATTTCCTCATAAGGCTTTTTGTTTGTTTTTAAATGATTTCAGATTAAGGAATTAGAAATGACTGATACTGTATTTTGAATCTTTCTCTTTTTAAAGTAACAGTTGCACTAAAATATTTTAATATGAACAAGGAGGAAATGATTATTTTTTTAAGCCCAGCTTTGTTCTGTTTTATAACGATGACCAGGGACGCAAGACCTCTCTCAGGTGATGACATCACAAGGCCTGGTGTCCACCTCCAGTGGCCCCCATGAGATCACCCTGACCATTAACAACTCGAGCCTGAGCCAGGTGCTGGCGCAGGCTGCCGGGCCCACCGCTGCGTCGTCCTCGGGGTCGCCGCAGGAAATCACCCTGACCATCTCCGGTTAGTCTTAAAATTTTTTAAATCCTTTCACCTGCAGTTTAGGTAACTCTTTTTTGTATCTTTTTCCTGTAAGACTGAGCTTTGCCTAAATCCAGTGCCTCAGGAAGTGTTTGCAATTTATGTGAGAATGATCATCCTGCAGCTCCCATCTGATACCAGGGATTAAACGTGGTGGTTCCTCACGGCACGTCCAGTTTGAGCCAGGTAGCTTTGTCAGATATATTTCGTTTAACCAAGAGCAGAAAACCATGGCTTCATAATTCTTACCATGCTCCTTTGAGCTAAAGGAGTTGAATCGGTATAAGTGGTCACACTAGGAGATTACAGATACCTACCCCCCTGACCTTTTCAGAATTCTTCTCAGATTATGTAGAAAATTATGGTAGAACTAGATAAGTGGGTGGAGGACACCCTTTGGCAGCCCAGGCCACCGAGGTTGGCAAGCTCATCCTCCATGTGAGTCACCAGCTGATGTGCTCCCTGTTCCAGGCCTGTGACGTTCACGGTCAGCTCTTCCCCTTATAGAGCATCAATTCTCACAGTATGTTCTCATCTTAGTTAGCCTGGAGCATATTTTACAGGTGCGCTTTGCCCACACGACTCTTAGCTATGAGCTCTTCATGTTAACTGAGTGGTTCTTAAATTCAGCAACAATTTTGTGACCCTTACAGTGCACCAGGTCCTGTTCTAGTAACTTTGACAAATATTAACTCATTTAAGTGTCATAACAACCTTATGAGATTGTTGTTTTTTAAAGAAAAGAAAAGAACATTTTGCTGGGGTCAAAATAACCTCCCTGGAGACAGAGTATGGCAGTGGCTGGAATACTGGGCTGATAGCCGTGTGAGCGGTCAGTGTAGTTATTACCTCTGTTGCCTGAGATTTCTGCAAAAATCATTATTGGAAAAGAAAGAGTAGTTATTGAGAAGAAAACCAAAAGCTTGCTTTCTTGAGGGGCGTCTTTATTCCTTTCAGTTTACGTGAGAATTTGAGGAACTGTTCCTGGATGGAGCTTTGCTTCTCAGTGACACGCAGTGGTGTTTAGGTGCTAGCAGGCAGCAGAAGTTAACTCTGAATTTTATCTAATTCACTAACTCTCTTCTTTTTTATTTAATATATGTGTGTGTGTATATATATATATATATATATATATATATATATATATATTTGAATTGTAATGTTGGAAACATGGAAGAGTTATTTTCAGAAAGCTGTTTTGTTGATCGAATTAACTTTTTTTGCATAATCTCAATATCTGAGGGGTTGTGCTAGTCCTATATAAAAAACACATAACATACAGTTCGGCAAATGTGTTTTTGTGGCTTGTACTTCTGTTTCTCCTATGTTTTCCTATTATCGATCATTTAGTTATTTTATTGTTAATTTTTAGTGTATTAGGTGAATATAACTGCAATTTAAAAAAAAAAAAAGCTCAAAAGGGTTATCCTAGGAGAAATCTTTGTCAGTTGATGAAATAAGGGTTGCCCAAACTCTGGGCTTAAGATTTCCTATTCCTTTACTTCTCATTATTGTGTGTAATGAGAATTGGCTGTGGGGACTACTAACTCAACATTTTCGTGTCGCATTCTGAGAAGTCTAGAAAAACTTTTAATTTGTGGTCACCTTGGAGAGCATCTAGCTGTGCTATAGAAATGTTTGGTTATTCTGTCGAATGTTCTGTTTTCCATGAATGCACAGAATTATAAGTGCTTACGAATGCTAGAATGCAAATACTACTTCAGTTAAGGTGTACAGACCTTTAGCAATTCCTAAGCTGTTTGGGAAAGAAGTTAAACATTGGGTAAAAGGCGAGGAGGGTCCTCAGTCTCCCCCAGTTGTCGTGTAAGTAAAAGTGCTCCTACCTGATGTCTTTAGTTATTAATAGAAAGCCACGTCAAGCAGAGAGAGAAACGATGCCTACACGATTTTGAGCATTTATCCGCAGGTCTTTGAAAATGGGTCTGCTCTGCTGGTAGGAGTTCTGAACGTTTTATTTTGCCCACACTTCCACCCCTGTTGCACAGACTCATTCCCCAGTTCTGTTTCTCTAGTGTGGCATGAGGGTGTCGGTGATTATGAAGCTGAGTGCAGCATCCTTTTGTCTTTTGGTTTTCATTGAAACAGCTCGGGTTTTTAATTTTCATGTTCCTCTGTTTCCATACTATCTGATTACATTATACAATTATGCTGTAATGTAAAGGTTACAAGCTAATGAAGCTGACAGAAGCCCATGTCTCTCGGTGGGAGTACATCACGGCGTGCTTGAGCCTGCTGTGCGCGTCCAGAGCGCCGTGGGGCAGTGACCCTCCCGTAGGAGACCTGTAGCGGCCACTGCTGCCGCAAGGGAGGCCTTGGTACCCTCCCTCGTGCCCCTCGGTGCTGCAGCTGGGAGTCCACCATGTTTGGAAGTATTTCCAATTCAGTTTAAGTTTTATTCAACAAAGTGTGTAGCTCTAAGTGCCTAAATGCTGGGTTAAAGTAGAACTCTTAAGACGCACTTAAAAACTTTATAGCTTAAAAAGTGTGAACAGGTAGTTTCATTTGGGGAAATGTATTTCATGGTCTTATTTTAATTTTTTTTCTCTTTAAATAGTATTAAAAATGAAATAGCTTTCACTTTTAAAAGGATGTTATTATATGTTTAACATACTTGCCAGTATGTGAATTAATGTGTTACTCTCAGATATCACAGTATTAATTTCTATTTAGGTCAAGATCTTATTCAGCACAGTTCTAATGGAAGTAGTGAACTGAACGGAAGCATAAGATTGTCAGCACCTGCAATCAATAATCAATCTACGGGTGCCACCTTGACCATAAGCAATGATCAGCTTCTCTCACAGAGTGCAACATTAAACGCTTCAGGTATGCAGCTAATGATCCAGCCACGAGAGGCTTCATGACGTTTCATAGTTACAGGGCTCTGCACCTGGTCAGCAGAGAGAAGTCACCTGTCTTCTTGCGTGACGAGTGTGTCAACTGCACGTTCTAATACGTTTGATGTGATTCTGTGATGATTAGTGGCTTATGTATAATTCTAGGACACAGAACTGTCTCGAGTGTTATTAACCTTTTAAGGTCGTTTCCACCTTCTAAAGAACAAAGGTAAATAATCTTATTCAAATATGCAAGGCATTGTGTATGTCTGCAAGTCACAAAGCTGTCCCTGTGTCACCCAGGCTGAAAGTGCCTCTGGCTCGTTACTTTGTGCCCTGCGGTGGGAATGTTTGGGCACCAGCTGAATGTAGGATGGCAGAATTAAAAGAAGACATCTTACTAAGGTTTTGAAGTATAGGCTTTAATAAAAAATAAAAGAGCTCCAGTAAAATAGGTCACAGCTTCATAAGTAAACGTTAACAGTTGAGGATGCCATACCTGTTTGCCTTACCTTGTAGAGATTTCACTACTTTCTTAGCCCTCTTTATTTTCCAACTCTGTATATCATTTTTTGAGAAAAAAAATTTAATCTTTAGATATGTTTGTACCCCCAGCTAGACTTTTTTCCGTGCTTAATTGAAATGCTTTCTTAGCCAGTAATTCTTCTATTCACTGAAAGATTGTGGTGCATACTGTATGGTAAGAAGTATACTAAATCTGGGTGTGTCATGTTGGGCAAGGCAACTACGGTCCCCTTGCATTTTGGGTCCTAGAAACGAACAGAGCAGACGTTTATTGAAGAAGCCGTAAATCAGTGTAGGATTAACGGCAGTAGCGATACGTAAAGGGGAGAAGGGCGCCCAGCGAGCACGTCTCGGGTGGGGGGTTGACCTGGTCGGGGCGGCCTCCCGAGGCGGGAGCCCTGGCCGTGGCGGGGGCATTTCTCCTCCACGAGTGAGGGCTTGATGGATCTGCAGATGCTGCAGGGTGGGGACTTGCTGAACTGAAGCAGGTGGTGAGCTGAGGCAGCTGCACACAGTGAGGTTCCACTCAGGACCCTGAGGGGCTTTCTGTCCACCCCTCCCCTTTGCTAAAGGGTAAACTGACACCCGGCTGGTTAAGAGCCGTGTTGGAATCACGTGTTGGCGGATCTGGGCAGATGCAAAATCTGGACTTCTGGCCGATGACCGTTTCCACTGTACCACTGCTCTCCGTGTGTTCCTGTCTCTACTTTGCTCTTAACTCTGTCCCTCCTGCGTCGGTTTGCTTGTTTAATTTTGGGGCTCTAAGAAAATTGTATCCCAGAACTGAATTCTTGTACTTATTAATTTGAAATGAGAGTCTTTTGGTTTTGTTTGCAATTAAGGGGAATTTTGTTTTATATTCTAATTGGCTATGAAAGCTAGTACTTTCAGGTTATAATTTAGCCTGTAATAGGTAAGACTTCTACAGTATATCATGTACTACTCAAGTTACATAGCAAACTTGTTTCTGCAGCTGTTTCCTGAAAGTCTTAGTTTGTGTCTTTTTGTAAAGGACTAGACACTGTGTTCGTTCTTGTTACCTCTGGGGTTCTGATCACCTCCCCCACCCTGCGTGGTGCGCGGTGCGCGGTGCGTGTTGCAACATGAAGATGTGTCTCTTGTGTTTGGCCCTAATGAGTGGTGTCACGCTCTGGTGGGGGTCTATGTCCTGGAATGCTGGGATGTCAGGCTCTCCCCGCCTCCTGCTTCCCTGAGGAGTAAACTGGCTGTAGGTGGTGGAATCTTACATCTCCTTGGAAGCCCTGCTTCATGTCTGTAGTGAGTCCTGGGCAAATCGATGGAAAGACAAGGAGAGTTTTAGGTGTTTCCCTGTAAATGGAGCGGGGGTGTTTTGCGCTACTTGGTGACCCTGGGCGTTCGCTGGTACAGCAGATTACTTAAAGCTGGTGATGTTCTGATCAGAATGGAGAAGCGGATGGAGGGAGGGCCCAGGAACGCAGAGGGCTCTGTTCTGGCCACCTGTATTTCTTTAAACCTCTGTCTTCTGTGAGTCAGACAACGGGTGTTCCACCTTGTACATCTGCCTCCACAGATACAGAGTGATTGTCTCACGGGCAGGGGACGAGCATGGTGACTGTGCGCACGGTTGTCGTCGTTAACTCTCTGTGTGAGCAGCACGTGGTGGGCTGCCAGCTTCTAGGGCAGCTTCTGGGCTCTTTGCGCCTTAGTTGGAAGTAGGCTGTTACCATTTAGGGATTTACAAATAAATCAATGTGCCCCGATGAGTCAGAATTTCACATCCAGAACGAAAGCATGTGCTTTTGTTCAGATGTGTGATATGGGTTTGAAGGCCATTTCCAGATCCGATCCAGGTAACACCCATGACAAAGGGTTTTCCTAGAAAACGGGCAAGTATTCTATAAGTACCCTTTCAGAGGCAGAAAGTTATTATTAGTAGAGGCTTGAAATTTAGCACAGCTTTTTAAGGAATTTAACATTGTCTTTTTGTTCTTACCTGAGTCTTTTTTTTCTTTTGATTTTAGAATACTTTATTTATTTATTTATTTATTTTAAACATTTTTATTGGAGTATAATTGCTTTACAACGGTGTGTTAGTTTCTGCTGTATAACAGAGTGAGTCAGCTGTACACATACATATATCCCCATATCTCCTCCCTCTTGCGTCTCCCTCCCACCCTCCCTATCCCACCCCTCTAGGTGGTCACAAAGCACCCAGCTGATCTCCCTGGGCTATGCGGCTGCTTCCCACTAGCTCTCTGTTTTACATTTGGTAGTGTGTATATGTCCATGCCACTCTCTCACTTCGTCCCAGCTTACCCTTCCCTCCTCCCTGTGTCCTCAGGTCCATTCTCTGCATCTGCATCTGCATCTTTATTCCTGTCCTGCCCCTAGGTTCTTCAGAACCTTTTTCTTTTTTTTTTGTTAGATTCCATATATATGTGTTAGCATATGGTATTTTTTCTCTTTCTGTCTGACTTCACTCTGTATGGCAGACTCTAGGTCCATCCACCTCGCTACAAATAACTCAATTTCGTTTCTTTTTATGGCTCAGTAATATTCCATTGTATATATGTGCCACATCTTCTTTATCCATTCATCTGTCGATGTACACTTAGGTTGCTTCCATGTCCTGGCTAAATAGAGCTGCAGTGAACATTGTGGTACATGACTTTTTGAATTATGATTTTCTCAGGGTATATGCCCAGTAGTGGAATTGCTGGGTCATATGGTAGTTCTATTTGCAGTTTTTTAAGGAACTCCCCCATACTGTTGGTAGATTTTTTCATGATGGCCATTCTGACTGGTGTGAGGTGGTACCTCATTATAGTTTTGATTTGCATTTCTCTAATGATTAGTGATGTTGAGCATTTTTTCATGTGTTTGTTGGCAATCTGTATATCTTTGAAGAAATGTCTGTTTAGGTCTTCCACTCATTTTTTGGGTTGGGTTGTTTGTTTTTTTGATATTGAGCTGCACGTGAGCTGCTCGTAAATTTTGGAGATTAGTCCTTTGTCAGTTGCTTCATTTGCAAATATTTTCTCCCATTCTGAGGGTTGCCTTTTGATCTTGTTTATGGTTTCCTTTGCTGTGCAAAAGCTCTGAAGTTTCATTAGGTCCCATTTGTTTATTTTCGTTTTTATTTCCATTTCTCTAGGAGGTGGGTCAATAAGGATCTTGCTGTGATTTATGTCATAGAGTGTTCTGCCTATGTTTTCCTGTAAGAGTTTTATAGTGTCTGGCCTTAGGTTTAGGTCTTTAATCCATTTTAAGTTTATTTGGGTGTGTGGTGTTAAGGAGTGTTCTAACTTCATTCTTTTACATGTAGCTGTCCAGTTTTCCCAGCACCACTTATTGAAGAGGCTGTCTTTTCTCCATTGTATATTCTTGCCTCCTTTATCAAAGATAAGGTGACCATATGTGCGTAGGTTTATCTCTGGGCTTCCTATCCTGTTCCACTGATCTGTATTTCTGTTTTTGTGCCAGTGCCATACTGTCTTTATTACTGTAGCTTTGTAGTATATTCTGAAGTCAGGGAGCCTGATTCTTCCAGCTCCGTTTTTCTTTCTCAAGACTGCTTTGGTTCCTCGGGGCCTTTTGTGTTTCCATACAAATTGTGTGTTTTTTTGTTCTAGTTCTGTGAAAAATGCCAGTGGTAGTTTGATAGGGATTGCACTGAATCTGTAGATTGCTTTGGGTAGTAGAGTCATTTTCACAATGTTGATTCTTCCCATCCAAGAATATGGTATATCTCTCCATCTATTTGTATCATCTTTAATTTCTTTCATCAGTGTCTTATAGTTTTCTGCATACAGGTCTTTTGTCTCCTTGGGTAGGTTTATTCCTAGGTATTTTATTCTTTTTGTGGCAGTGGTAAATGGGAGTGCTTCCTTAATTTCTCTTTCAGATTTTTCATCATTGGTGTGTAGGAATGCAAGAGATTCTGTGCATTAGTTTTGTATCCTGCTACTTTACCAAATTCATTGATTAGCTCTAGTAGTTCTCTGGTAGCATCTTTAGGATTCTCTGTGTATAGCATCATGTCATCTGCAAACAGTGACAGCTTTACTTCTTCTTTTCCGATTTGGATTTCTTTTTCATCTCTGATGGCTGTGGCTAAAACTTCCAAAACTATGTTGAATAATAGTGGTGAGGGTGGGCAACCTTGTCTTGTTCCTGATCTCAGTGGAGATGGTTTCAGTTTTTCACCATTAAGAATGATGTTGGCTGTGGGTTTGTCATATATGGCCTTTTATTATGTTGAGGTAAGTTCCCTCTATGCCCACTTTCTGGAGGGTTTTTATCATAAATCGGTGTTGAATTTTGTTGAAAGCTTTCTCTGCATGTATTGAGATGACCATATGGTTTTTCTCCTTCTGTTTGTTAATATGGTGTGTCACATTGATTGGTTTGCATATACTGAAGAATCCTTGCATTGCTGGGATAAACCCCACTTGATCATGGTGTATGATCCTTTTTAATGTGGTGTTGGATTCTGTTTGCTAGTATTTTGTGGAGGATTTTTGCATCTATGTTCATCAGTGATATTGGCCTGTAGTTTTCTTTCTTTGTGACATCCTTGTCTGGTTTTGGTGTCAGGGTGATGGTGGCCTCATAGAATGAGTTTGGGAGTGTTCCTCCCTCTGCTATATTTTGGAAGAGTTTGAGAAGGATAGGTGTTAGCTCTTCTCTAAATGTTTGGTAGAATTCGCCTGTGAAGCCATCTGGTCCTGGGCTTTTGTTTGCTGGAAGATTTTTAATCACAGTCTCAATTTCTATGCTTGTGATTGATCTGTTTATATTTTCTGTTTCTTCCTGGTTCAGTCTCGGAAGGTTGTGCTTTTCTAAGAATGTGTGCATTTCTTCCAGGTTGTCCATTTTATTGGCATAGAGTTGCTTGTAGTAATCTCTCATGATCCTTTGTATTTCTGCAGTGTCAGTTGTTACTTCTCCTTTTCCATTTCTAATTCTATCGATTTGAGTCTTCTCCCTTTTTTTCTTGATGAGTCTGGCTAATGGTTTATCAATTTTGTTTATCTTCTCAAAGAACCAGCTTTCAGTTTTATTGATCTTTGCTATTGGTTCCTTGATTTCTTTTTCGTTTATTTCTGATCTGATCTTTATGATTTCTTTCCTTCTGCTAACTTTGGGGTTTTTTTGTTCTTCTTTCTCTAATTCCTTTAGGTGTAAGGTTAGGTTGTTTATTTGAGATGTTTCTTGTTTCTTGAGGTAGGACTGTATTGCTACAAACTTCCCTCTTGGAACTGCTTTTGCTGCATCCCATAGGTTCTGGGTCGCCGTGTTTTCATTGTCATCTGAGTCCCTTTTTAAGGTAATGTTGATGAATGAATTGAGTTCTGCTTTCAGTGAGAGAAGGATCAGTTCTTTGTTTACTAGTTCTTTGTGAGGTTATTTTGACCTCCGTTTCTCCTAGATTTAAGTGCAGTCAGTTACTTACTTCCCAACAGCTCTGAAATGTTAACGGCCCCTACCAGTGGGTGCACTTTACCATCAGACGCTCTTCCCACTCTTCCTGGGGGTGAGGCGAGTCAGGGCATCTTTCCCGTTCCCGACTCCCCATCTCCTCTCACCACTTTTTTGTTAATCTCAAGAAAAAAGTGATCTCACACCTTGTCAGCTTGTTATGAAACCCTCCAAAATTATCATTAAGTTTTCTTAGAGGCTGTGAAGACTTATCCCAACAAAGACTGAAAACAGGGTGGGTTTGATGAACATACAGAACTTGTTAATCCTTTAAAGGTTACTCTTTTTGAGTTAGAGTCATGCAGTGAAGTAGGGCTTAGATGGCTGTGATGTGTCCCAGGAGAACAGAAGAAATAAGAAAAAGTAAGTGGGAACTAAAAGTAAGAGTCTACAGTGTTTCCTTCAGTGTTGAATCTTCATTTTCCTGTTAAGAGTATTTAATTTGAATTTTAAATTACGGCTTCTAGAGCTTTAAGCAAATACTTTCATATGGCTAAGAGCTCTATAGTAAACAAATATAATGACAGCTTTTAATTATTTTAATCATTTAATTGCATGCGAAAGAAAATTTTTAAACACAGGTTCTTTTCGACCATATTGAGACTAGTTCTGCCTGAACTGGGGTCATCCTTCTCGTGGGAAGTCTCTTGAATTAAGAACATTATTAACGGTTGCATCACCACCACACTGTTTGAGTTGAAATATGAGCTCTGGCCTTCCGTGAAGTTGTTCAGTCTTTTCTCTGAACTTTGCGTCAGGGTTCACCTTAGTTAATGAACTCGCAGGCTTCTGTTTTCTCTTTGCATTCCTTGTGCTGCACGTCCTGGAACCTTCCACTACCTTAACCGTCCTCAGAACGTTGGACGTAGTTCACTGGTCGGAAGGGGAGAAGGTCTGCGTCTCCTTAGTTGCAGGAGTTGTGGTGAGGTCTGGAGTCCTGTGGCTACTCCGGGATGATCCCTGAGCCCATGGTGGTGCTCTTGGCCGACGTGGCCCTCACACCACCGTGCTTCTCCCAGCCCGCGCCCTGCGGCCGGCCCCGTCCTCTCCTTAGGGTTCTGACTGAACGGCAGCTCGTGGAGCTGCTCCTCGCCAGGTCCTGCAGGGTCCTTCTTGTTCATCCTCACCCCTCCCGATGGCGGGTGTGTGGAGGGGATGCCCGGTGAGGAGGTGGCCCGGGTACCTCCGCAGATCCACACTCCCCTCCCGTCCTGGCGGCCGGGCACGCGCGCTGTGCAGACGCGAGCGAGGGGGGGCTGGCGAGGTTCTCGGGAGCCGCGTGGCTGCTTCAGAGCGGAGACTCCCAGCCTCCTAATGGTTGTACTGCTTTTGAAGGTTCCAGGTGTGTGCAGCACAGTGTGGGACTCCGGGAGTGTGGATCTGTGGAGGACGCCAGTTACAAGTAAGTAGCCTGGTTCCCTGTGCCCGACGCGGGCAGACCCAGGTCTCAGCAGAGGACCGCGGGAGTCTCGTGGTGTTTTGTGTTCAGACCTAATTAGGGACTAGTGTTCGGAATTTCTGCTTTAGGTGTCATCTTGGGGTCGCTAGCACCTGGAACGGTGGCTGACGCAAGTGGGTGATAAGTCACGTTTGCTAGGTGAATGGAAGGACAGCTTGTGAGAATTGTGCGTGTGTGTGTGTGTACACGTGCATGTGCATGTGTGTTATGCTTACAAGTAAAAACTTCAAACAGTTGTGTTTTGTTGGTGCCCGCCACAGGACTTTGATAGTACCATGCTAAGCCCATTTCGTTTGCCAGTAGGTGCATGAGTTTCAGTGTTGTGGAAGAGAAGGCCTTCCTTTCTTTGCCCAATCTGTCCCAGACGTCTTCCTTTCTGTTATATCATTAGCTACAAGGGGAAAATATTATAGTGTTTTGTTTTGTTCTCCAAAGAAGATTAAGGTGCCCTGCAGGATAAATTAGTATTTAAAGGATTGCATGAGGTTGATTTTGATTGCCTGTGTTTCAGAATAGGTGAACGTAAGCAGAGTTGTCAGATGTTACACTGTGGAGCTGGTTGTCGCTCAGTGGGTCCCATTTCATTCCTCTCTCCAGGCTGGTCTCTGGTCCTGGATGAGGACGGTGTCCTGGAAATTCTTGTCTGAGTCTCCTTCTGCACTGGCAGCGGTGACTGGGCCTCAGGGTCACTTTTTCACTCTCTTTTACGGCTTTTTTCTCTGTTTACACTTCAGAAGCAGAGTACATTTACGTGTAAGGACGTGTAGATATTTACAAAAGCCTTGCCATAACGTTGGAATCAAAGATACTGTGATGCCTTCATGCACTTTCACAAGCTTAGGCACTGTAAATGCTGACTATGACAGATGTGTTCCTTTATGAGAATTGTCTTCCCGTGCGAATAACATTGGACTTACCTACTTTCCCGTTTTGCCTCTTCTGTAGAACTTAATGCCACAGCTGGAAGCCTGCCTTTGACAACACCCATGTCCCCATCTGCCACATCTGCCCAGAACCTGGTCATGTCCTCATCGGGAGTGGGGGCAGAGGCCAGCGTCACGCTGACCCTGGCTGACACTCAGGGTTTGCTCTCCGGGGGGCTGGACACGGTCACGCTCAACATCGCTTCTCAGGTGAGTTCCTGTGTTCCCCCCGCCCCACGGGGTCGTCCCGGGGAACTTATCACTTTCCTGAGTGTGTGTTCTGAATACGCTCTTTCAAAGCTGAAGTGGTTTTTTCTGATTAAATTGAAAAAGTAATTTGTTAAATGCAAAGTGGGGAGTACAAGAAAATCCAGACAATACAGAAAAGCATTTAAAAAAATCCACTACCCAAACGGAACTGCACTTAACGTTTGAGTGTGTCTTCCCTTCTAAACCTTTCTATGCATACGTACAGATGCGTATTTTCTAACTTTTACAGAAATGAGCTCACGTATACATCGTGTAGTGTAAACTTTTCCCCCTCTCATTAATTATATTGTGAATATCTTCCCATCAATGATTTCAGCAGTGCAGACGTTTGTAATGGCTGTACTACCGTTCGTCTTGTAGATGAGTTTACTGAGGGGCACTGCATTGCATCCAGGGTTTGTTATTAGTAGGGTGGAAATTCTTATGCTCTGTATCACTTATGTTCTTAGATGAATCCCTGCAGGAGATGTGCTGGATAGAAGGGTGTACATTTTAGATAACGCATTGAGCTTAAGATGCCGAAAAACCTTTCACAGCTTAATTAGAAAACTCATGAGAAAGGATGATTAATTACAGTGATGAATCCCTGTAGTAAAGCGCTGTAGGAGTTTCGACAGCGGACCTGTCTGCTGGTCCCTGTC